AGTTATTAACCCCATAAGTCTATGGTAAATGTTTTGTTTTCCACAACTTTCATAAATCAAATTCATGGGCAGGGCTGTGATTATCTTTTAAAATTGTATCATCCTATAATCACCTAWATATACCTGCTTCACACGTGTTTTAAACAGATGTGCTGAAGGGTTTAAAAAGATCTTCCATTGTTTTGGTTTACATTCTCCACTCAAATTATTTCTACATTTTCTTTTCATGTTTCCTTGCATTTCACTGAGGCCATTTGGTTTAATTGTAAAAACTTCAGACAGTGTTGGCCAGAACTTACAGCTACAGAAAAGTTCCAGTACAAATAAAAGTACCAACCCTGTGCCAGAAACCTTTTTCTTTGTTTTTTGTTTTTTTTGTTTTGTTTTGTTTTGTTTTGTTTTGTTTTGTTTTGTTGTTGTTGTTGTTGTTTTTTAAGAAAATTTTGACATTTCCTCGTGGTCACTGTTCTGTGAGATGAGGCAAGTCACCTACCCCCCACTCCATCTTCCCAAAACAACAAAGAACAAGAACTATTTACACACACAACCTGAGTGAGGCCTGTCTGGGGGTAGAAGCTGTGCACAGAGTCATCCTGCCATTTACTCCCAAAAGGCTCTGATCACAGCAGGGATGACATGCAAGGACTGCTGCATGTCAGGGAGAATACACAGCCAGTGGCGGTGCTCAGCAGCCTCTCAGTTGCTCCATACAACACACCCTTCAAASAAATGTCACCCTTTATGGTCCCTTCAACACCCTCCAAATCCACTCCCCTTCGATCACTACAGCTCAAACACACAACAAAGCCACACGGGCCAATATCGGACGTCCTTTTCTCTCAGTCTGTCCCTCCTTCTATCTCTCTGATTGTCTGCCTGTCCTTTGGTGAGAAGAAACCAACCTGTGTCTCCACTTTGAGCTGACACGGCTGCCTGTCCCCCACTGTGCAGGCCAGAGGCAGCCACAAAGCAGGCCACGTGAAGCAACTGAGGAAAGCTGGCTGTTTGGTATTTGGAGTCTGGCCACCCAGCTGAGAAATGCCATACAGGAAACTCTTGACTAAATGCCACCTTTCTGGGCCAACAGATCGAAACTCTGTGCAAAAAAAAGAGAGAGGCTGTTAGGCCTAGTTTTTCTTTGCGATGGCAAAGAGGGAGGGRGGTAAGAGGGGAGCCAGTGACTCCCCTGCGGCAGTCCCTGTCATCTCTCCAGGTGATGGACACACTAACTACACATTAGCTCCAAATTAGTCGAGCGACCACCCACTATGGCAACTCTAGAGTTAAAACCAAGAAAGTCTATCCATTTTTTTTTTCATTTAATGAGGCACATTTTTTTCCACACCTTCACAGAATTCCCTGAGCGGTTTCAATCAATTTCCGGGCCRGGGCCCTGAGGTGAGGGCTGATGAGAGTGAGATCGATCCCGACTCTGCCCTTTTCTGTTTACCTTATCCCGACCTCCTCTCACATCAGCCGCGATAACTGCATCTCCCAACTCTCTCAGAGTGACCTGACACTTATCACTCTGTGTGTTATTTCCAAGAGAAACAACCTTAGTGGTCTTTTGTTGTTATAACAGTTTTTATTTTGTTGTTGTTGATTTTCCTTTGGCCGCTTCCTTCTTCAGGGATCACCACAAYGGGCAAACTTGCATGAAAGATTTGGCAAGTGTTTTACACTGCATCTCCTGACAACTATGGACTCGAACCTGCAGTCTCAAGATTTTATAGCAGCTTTCTATACCAAAAAATATTTTCTTTGACCTCCAAAGAAGAACAAAATATTATAAAAGCTCATTTCAAATGTAGATATAAAATTTAATTGACATATAATAGCTWTGAAGTAGAGCTGCATGGTATATYGTTCAGGCATCGTCATCGCAGYGTGCGCAACAGTCAYAGTGCAGGTCCTGCGATGTAAGAGGCAAATTAAATGAGCATGTTATCTGGAGTCAAAACCATACAACAAAATCCTTGCACCAAACAGTTGCATGTTACGGCTTTTATTTTGATGGGTGTCAAAACAGCTAAACTTTCATTTTGTTATGAAACTTCTGGAACAGCARTGATAATGTTTTACACAATAGTGTTGGCGAYGAATTCTCGAGCTGTGGAGGAAGACAATGAGAATCTTGACGAAAATGAGCAAGACGAGCAAATTTGCAGAGAACTTGAAGAGGTAAAATATTGTTAGCACGAATGCTACTAATAAGACAAAAACAGAAACTAACAGACACTGAGGCAACACACTAGGTGTTAAAATGCAATTYATGTTGGCGGATGATAGAAGGAAACATGTACTTAGGTCCCAGCAAAACAAAAGCAATCAATAAAAGATAACAAGAATAATTCAAACACGGACAAAAACTTACTTGTAATRTTCACAAAAAAGAGGTCAGATCGATACAGGTCCATCATCAACATCATCAACCATCCTGCCAAATGGCAACAAGACTTAAAGTGCCATCTGTTGAAAATCCCTGTATTTTGTCTTGTAGCAATATGTATTGTTACAAGACAGTTTTTTTTTCCAATAYTGTGCAGCCCTACTTTGAAGATGATTTAGATCTTCCAGTAAGCAATACTATGAATCTAACAGGGTGGGCAACAAAGGGTGGATAAACGAAACCACTTTCAAAGTAGCAGGCCCTCAAGAAAGGGGTTTCAAAGCCAAGAAAAGACCTAAAAGCCTGGGGGAGGCATCCTGACCCTAAAACAGGACACTGGAAGCTTACACACATCATATTCTGCACATTTTACGTTCTAAAAAACCCTGTCCCTTCCTTCAATATTTACTGTGGGGGACAGGTATCGTTAGAGAGGGTCCCTCAGGGCACTCTGTCACACACCCACCTGGGAAGTGACACAGTGGCTTTAAATGAGACGAGACATTCCTGTCTGGGATTAGCATTTCAAAGCCAAGCGTACACACAGGGGCCACGTGGTGATGCCATGTTAGACATCTCAGACTGACTAAAACAGCAGGTAAGATTAAAATGAGACAGTGAAAGGGACCGTGCTTACCAAACAGGTGGCAACTTCAGTTTACTTTATTTTTTGTCTGTTTCTTTTTGACTCTCACATTAAGCAGACACGTTGCTTCAACCTCACACACCAGGCAGTCAGGTGGCAGATGCTCTACTTCACCGCCGTCATCAGGCTCTACCTACATTTTATGACAAATGCACCTCCATCTATTGCGGCACATCAGAGATGTGTCGGCCRGTGTGTTTAGCACTTTTTAAGGAAAGACCCAGAAGGCATCGCTCAGGTCAGGTTACCTGCGTGTCTCAGGCTTGTTCACTCCTCGGTCGTCCATGTCAAACACGACCTGCACAATGTGCGCCCACCAAGCACCGAAGTGGGCCGCCATCATAAATAACTCCACTAACAATACATCATTTAGCTGGGTGTTCTGCTCTCATGTGCAACTCCAAACAAATGGCCACATCGATCATTGCGAGAGCCGGGCAGGGTAGGGCTAAGCCCCTGAGAGCTTCCCCCACATTACTTAAGCACTCACACCAACATTAACACATATGCTGGCTCTTGTATAAATAGCCCTCTGTTTTCCTAAATAAAMCTGCCTTGCCCTCCTCATATATGCCTGTGCTTGGTAATCCTGTGGCGCTATGTGGCAAACTAGCAGGTGTTGCTAGCTCAATTTGCACAGCAGTTTCTCGAAACACAGACATCCCTATTGTTTGGCTGTGCTGAATAATTAAAATTGTCTACAACCTTTAAACAACCTTACGTCAGACTCATCTGTCATGGCATCCTGCTGAGGGCCCTGGTGCCGGCGTCTGCTAGGATGTACACTTTGGGCACAGGGGTGTAAAAAAGGGGAGAGGTGAGATAAGTATATTAACTGTTGGCCTGCGGCAAGCTATCATAGGAGGCTGATGCCTTCTCCTTTTTGACCTCACTTTATCCCTCAGAACCCTACACCAGCATCATTCATTGTTCTATATGAAAAGAGGTTCGGGAGGGGACAGGGCCATGACTCCAGTTTTAGAAAACATATGGAGAGGCTATTGCCAGGCAATCCATCACAAGCCAGAACAAATGAGAACAACCGGATATTCTTATTGTTGTATAACAACAAGGTAGGTTAAGGAGACTACAGGCAGCTGGCAAGCTCCCATTCTGCCATTTACAGAGTTTTAACCTGCCATCAGACAAACCCCTAATATAAATAGCAATTATCTTAATGCAGAAAAAGTGTAATTAAATCTAGATTAGAATAGTGTCTATACTGTATATTTCTTGTTGTGTTTTGACTGAAAATATTRAGCAGAAGAAATTCAGTCCACTGAATCTTGTAATGATTTTGTCAGAACGTTTCTACCCCTAAGAATACTGGGTCAACCGAAAGGYTGAAGTGTGTGTTTATGTGCTGGATTTACATACAGCCCAGGTGTGTAAACCCATATGGTACAAAAAGCACAAAGACATGTTTGCTCTAATACGTTCAATTCCTTAATTAGATGTTTATCCATGTTGTCTGTAGAGCTTTGCTTTGTATTCAACAACAATTTCTGCTGTCTGGATTAAATCATCATCGTGTTTGCAGATGGATCTGAGTTGTTTTTAACCTGCTTGCWGTACCAGATGGGCAGGGATTACAGCATCAGGACAACTCAGAGTCAGAGGGGTACACAGATAAATATACTTAAACTTTCCAAGACTGTGGTGCTGTAGGGTAAATTGTCTCTGTGCATAATCAGTTATCCAGCGTGGCCCACCTTTGTTTGTTTGACACTGAGATGCGCTCCTAAATAAAACTGTATTAAGTTTTGTACGTTTAATTCACTTATAGACGATAAACTGCAAACAAAACAAAACAAACTTCCTAAAAGTTGAAATTTAACACTCACGTTGACTCAGTAGAGCCTTATATTCACCACTTTCTCTGAACACATAAAGAAACAAAAAAGAAATCAACAAATTTTCGTATGTGATGTATGTGTGTATGTGTTTGTGAACAAATGTCCTCACCTCGTTGTGAATCTCTTCGCAGTGCTGTAGTGTTGTCGGCTGCAGGGTCAGCAGGCTGTGGGAGCCCGTCTTGGGGTCAGTGTGCAGGTTGGACAGGGCCTCTTGGCACCGTGACTGGATGTAGGTCAGGGTCCCCCTAGAACACTGAGCGCAACGACACAAACATTGCTCACATGAAAAAATAAGAAAGGAATGTTCTAAAACACAGTTTATGACTTAAATTTTGAATATAGTATAAAAAGACTATTGTAGTTTCACTTTTGTAAAAACACAATTAAAAAAAATACTTGTTTTACATCACAAATTGATGAGCTATACAGTAAACTCGTGACGTCAACATTTACGGGCAGAAATTTAAAAAGTCAATTGAAATAAACAAACTAAAATGTCTTTAAAATAATTACTTGTTACCCAATTTTTGTGGGGGAAAAAATGAATAATTTCTAAACATTGTTGGCATGTGTGATCATAACAAATTCAAACTCACCTCGGCCACTCTGTGTGTGGAGCTGAAACGTGCCATTTCTCCAGCAAGGACACAGTGCTGATGTGTGCTGTTCAGATCATCTGGGCAAAAAAGGAAAAAGAAAGAAAAACATTGAGRATTATAAAAGAACGTCAAACACAAAAATAATAACCTCATACGCCAAATTGTGTCTTTTTTATTACTTTTAATAAAGAATAATTGAAACAATTTCACAGAAAATATTAACAGAAAAACAGATGAAAAGCATGAGTCAATTAGACTAAATCAACTTGTACACTCAGACGTTTTTTKKTTTTTTTTTTTTTTTTCTCATTCGGTCCAGCATGGAATCAAATAGAACGAAGAGTATTGTAATAAAATTTTTAATTACCAAACAGAAGCAGATCGCGCTCAATCTGTCAAGATGGATGCGCCATACCAACAAACATTTGTCCAATATCACACAAGCTTTACAGTGCTGTTTCCTGTGTATCCCTCCATGTGTTTCTTTGTGTGTATAGATGTTTCTCAGCTCTGCCATTATTTGCCTCCCACCAATAATTAATTTAGCCATGACAGAGCTGTCATTCACAGCACATGTGCATATTTACACCCGCCTTGAGCAAGAGTACACCAGCTAATGCCTGTGATTTGAAAGTCAAACAGCCAAATGCTTTGGGAGGAAGATATTATTGTTTGGTGGAAGTGAAAAAAACAAAAACAAAAAAAAAGACGGTGACAAACAAAACAACTTGCCGGTGTTTTCTTCACCCTGATGAGATTGTGAAGGATTAGGTCTCTGGGCAGAATTACTCTGCGTCTTTAAAACTGTTTATATCCAATAACAAATTATCTCCATCAATCTGCTCTTTTCTTGGCACGTCTGATGCAGTCAGTGGGATCAGGAGGGAGTAGAGGCAAACTCGATAACTGTAATAAATATTTATCTTTCTTTCAACCCCTGTGCCTGCTGCCACTTGTCCTCCTTTTCCAGGAAGCAGGCTTTTAAATATATTGGGTCAACTCTTTTCTCCAGTCCCACCCCCCCCACTGTGCATTGGGAGTTGGAAATCAGATTATTGAACAGGCCCGGTGTCAGGACTTGCATTGTTCTTTTTTAACCACTGAAATTCCATTTGGGTGGAAATGATGGTGATTCAATTTGCCTCCAGCAGCTCAGACATTAGCAGTTCAAAAGGGCCAGCCGCCGACAAATGGTGCTGAAATTATATAACAGTGTCTGCGGTTATTCACCTTTGTAGTTTCCTTTTAATACCACAAAACTACTTATCATTGGGTGTATGTCAGTGAATCACAAGTACAATATATTTTAATACCTGGTTTAGTTCTGCCCGCTCTGTCTATGTGTGTGTGTGTATGCTGGAGACGAGGGAGGGGGAATGCTTCGAAGGATGCCCATGTGTGTGTGTTTTGTTTTTTTTTGTGCACGCAAGTTGTGCAAATTTATACGCGCCGTGTGCATATGTCTGCACACTGTGCCAAGTGTTTAATTCAGGTAGGCCAACAAAGCAACAGACGGCCGAGGACTGCGCGAGCTGCTATCGTTGCGCAGCAGTTGGACTCTCAAGGGCGCACTCTCCAAGTGGAGCATAAATCCCCACTGATCCGCGACAGTTGAGTTCCATTAGAATGGCCTGCACAACAGCCCATCACTCTATTATCTTGGCTGGCCTGATATTGACGATTGCATTGTAAATCTCCTTCTGCCGTATAAGGTCGGTTTCAGGCCCTGTCAAGCTAAATATTAGGTGCAGATATTGCTGCGTTTCGATGAAAACACAGCAACTTCAAAGAGCCAGAATCAGGAACTCAGTAAAACTTCCCACTTCCTCCTTATATGTTAGTAAACTATTTAAAGAATATGTTTTAAGAATGTGCAAGTATACATTTATTTGTGGTTTAATATTATYTATAGTATACCAATTTACTGCAGCTACTGTTTTGAAGCAAAGAATAACAAAGTAATAACATACAATAAAAATATGTTATGGACACAAAAAATTATTTGCTTATATGCCATCAATAATGTATATCTTTTCACTTCTTATGATTTATTTGTTTAAAAAAATCTTAAGAATAATTTAAATAAAGCAGCTTACTCTTTACTCAGAATTGTTTATTTTATTTTAAAAATAGAGCGCTTTATTGTTATAGTCATGCTGACGTGCAAAGACTTATTCTCAGTCACTTTGCATTTTACTCTTTTGTGCTTATGCACCTATGGCACGTCATGATGCAAATAAATAGACGGCGTTTAAATACAGTATAAGTGAGTGCTGTAYAAAATGTAACTGCCTGTTAAACTAACATTTTCCAAAAAAACACTTGCGCTTTTAAAAGATTTAAATTGTCATCAGCTATCAATGATATAAAACAAGATGTATGAGATTTTTGGATTTAAAAATAAAACAACCTCTATATTATCACCAAAGAAACACAAACCGAAAGTACAGCTAGTCCTTTCAAAACCTACTCGATTAAGACCTCAAGACCACAGTGTGCTCTCTACATCCAAGTCCTCAATGTGGTTTAAAGATTACAGATGCTGGGAGCTACAGGAGATGGTCAATGCTTCACGCACATAAAACAAAATGAAAAATGAAAAAT